TTCTTCTTCTTCTTCTTCTTCTTCTTCTTCTTCTTCTTCTTCTTCTTCTTCTTCTTCTTCTTCTTCTTCTTCTTCTTCTTCTTCTTCTTCTTCTTCTTCTTCCCCTCCTCCCTGTCCTCCTCCCCCTCCTCCCCCTCCTTCTCTGATTCTATCATCGTCACATTGCCCTGTTCTAGGAAAACTACATTCTAGCTTGCTTATGGTCCTTTCTGACATGTCCAGAAGAGGACTAGGCTTGTACGCCTCTCAGTTCAGATGCTGAAGAACCAAGCTTTAGAGACAAAGGAGACCTCTTTGTAGGAAGAGGTTCTTGACAGAAGGTGAAGCTTTGCAGAATATGACCTTATCAAACCAAAGGTGTTTAGCTTCAGCTGTGCATAGTGGACAGGGAATAGGGGCCTTGGGTTGGCTATGTAAAGCTCCTGGGGAAATATATTTTCTTTCTGGAACAGCTTGAAGATACAACCTCTCCTGTGGTGGTGAGTACTTGCAATGGTCCTTGATCCAATTCTGAAGCCTGCATAATTTACTTGAAGACCTATACACAGATCCTCACCTGTGACCCATGCAATATACAAGATAATTGAGGACCTGTATACTGCATGGGGCAGAAAGGGGGCTGAGAAAGTATCTAGAGATCCCTCACATCCCTCACATAAACTGCTTCAACTGCTGCCCTGCATGCCAAAACACATAGACACAAAGACAGTTTTACCCCATGCCATCACTCCGCTGAACACCAAATGATCATAGTATTGCCTTATGTCTAAGGATATTTACCCATGTAATAGGCTGAATTACTATTATTCTTCTCAACTTTTCTACTACCTTCTCGTATTGGTATCTTATGATTATATTATTTTGTTGTTTGTATGTACAGTGAGAGCTTATGCAATCAGAGACAACTTCCTTGTGTGTCCAATCACACTTGGCCAATAAAAGTATTCTATTGTTGTTGATTCTCAGGCTTATGAATAGCTGTTGCTGACTTCCTTCAACCCAACGAAAACTAGCTCTTGGCTTAGTACATTACACACAATATCATTATGAGTTTGATTATTAGTTTGAATATTCTTCAAGACCTTTGCTAGGTTGTAAAATCTGGATATGTTTTGGCATATGGGCTACAGGGATGATAGTTGAGAAAGCTTGGAATATCTTCAATGACCACAAGATGGAGAGAGATCATTAGGGGATGGGTTGAGTAGCAGGTCTTTAGAAAAGAATAGAAACTTTCTCCCACTAGATGGCGGGTTAGTAAGTTTATTTGTGGAAATCCAACACCAGTTAATGGCACCTGTTTGTGAGGGCCTGACCTAAGCATTTATATGCTGGTATTATTTACTACTATCTCTATCCTGGTTTTTATGTTTATGCCAAAGGCTGAATACTGGAGACAAAATACTTGGCTGTATATATGATTGTCTGGACCAGGTTGATCTTGATCTGAGATCAAGATTTAGATCTGGCTTTGGATCAGACTGAAAGTCAACTGTTGAATTTTCAGAAATTCTTTTAATTGCATTTGTTTCTTTTAACCATTCCAGTTATCTGTCAAACCATTTCAATTTTGCTATTATCAATTTTGTTACTATTCTTCTCATCTTTCCTATTATCTTCTATTGATATCTTAAAATTTATCACTTTGCTGTTTGTATGTACGTGGAGAGCTTATATTTGTATGTACAGTCTATGTTTGTATGTACACTGAGAGTTTATGCACTAGAGACAAATTCCTTGGGTGTCCAATCCAATCCAATCTTTATTTGACCAATAAAGAATTCTGTATTATTTTCTTCCAATCCATCCAACTGTATCTATAGAACATATTCAGCCACATTAGTCACATTAGTCACTAACCTAGTAATTATGGGCACCCAATGAGCTGAGTTTATTTAGTTTTAATTTTAATTAATAGAAATAACCTCTCCTCTCCATATTCCATGCAGAAGGCCTATAGTTATAGCTGCCTTTTGCAAGATTGTGCTTTCTATATTGGAATAAACATCTGGAGCCATGTTGGGGATTAACACTTGTAATTAACACTTCAGGTGGAAAAAACAAGAACTCCCAAATTTTCGCTAGACCAACAGTCAAGTAAACAACACCCCAATCAAGAAGAAACTGCCAAAGAAGCCAAGAGTAAACAGCCCAGAGGTGGTATTCAGCAAGTTCCTACCAGTTCTGGAGATTTGGTAGTGGAAATTTTGAGTTCGGAGAACCAGCAAATACCACCTCTGACTGGAGTTTTTACAGTATCCTTCCCCTGCCATGCCCACCAAGCCACGCCCATAGAACTGGTAGTAAAAAAAAATGAATCCCATCACTGAAATAGCCCAACCTTCTAAGACCACTCCCACTAACACTGATAGGGCAAGCCACTAGAACAAGGGTCTCTAACCCCAGGTCCGTGTACCTGCACCGGGCTGTGACATACCAGAAACAGGGCCGTGGAAACAAGCGAAGCCCCATCACACAAAACCAAGCTCCCTCCGGTCCCTTGTGCCCTGAAGGTTGGGGGCTACTGCACTAGAATAACAACTGACAGCAAACCACACTCTATACTAGCACTGATGACATTACCTAGTTTGAGTAATGAAAGGTCTGCAAGAAAACAACAAAGCTCAGAGACCACCAAGAGCCCCTCAAAACCTTTGCTACCCTATATTAGTCTTCATCCCATCTGTTCTAGCTTTATTTCCAAGTCATAAATGATGGTTTAAAGACCAGAATGGGCTGATTATGTACACTCAGCCAAGGCAGAACAAAACGGATCTATTTATGGTTCTGAGTAGCTCATAAAGTCCTCTCAAATTCACCTTATTTTGTATTTACGAAAATACCTCTATTTGTAAAAAACCTTAGGCTGGAATAGAAAGAATTAAAATTAAATCAATTTTTCAGAAGAAACCAAATACGCGAAGACTACTACTCAGGATTGGTATGTTTTCATTCATTCGGTTGGTTCATTTGGGCAATGTCAGTTTGTTATTGACATCATTGCCTTTCCTTTGGCATTTTTTACTAGCAGGGGATGATTTACAGGAGTGATTTCAGCAAACGCTCCTTTTCTCTAAGGAAGACTCCAAGGTTTCTGTTTGAAGCCAGGATGAAAAGTAGGCCAGTGAGACAAGGAGGCCTGTGGAACAGGTTTTACCCAATTTCTTGGAATGGCCTCGGTTGAGGGCCATAAACAGCTTCAGGATCCGCCTGGGGCAGGAACCTCATGTGATGTTTCCTCTCTTGGTTTATCTCCGAACTTTGCCATAGATTAAAATGCTTGGAAAAGCCTGAGCTTGGCTCTTGGCTTCAACATCTTTCCAAGAGTTTTCTTCACCATGTTTTTCCCCCAGAAAATATATTTTCTGCCTGAAATGGTTTAAGTGATGCAACCTCTGCTTTTGTTGTAGAGTGCTTGGAAAACTCGGAAATATGTGATCTAAGATACAATCCAAGCTGTTATCAGAGCAACAGTTTGAAAAAAACACCCATCCACAATGGAAATATTCAAGAGTAGCCCAGAGCTATTGGATGAGCTGGTCTTTGTCCCTCAACCTCTATAAAAATGGCAAGATTTAAGTTTAGGATATCTGGACTAAGTATTGTGAATTTTCTGCAACTGCTAATTATGGCATTCTTATTTGGTTCTCTGTGTACATAATTATTTACTTGATCATTTCCTTTAAAATCCCATACCCTCTATTTAAATTTTGTGTGTCTACCCTAAATATGATTGTTTACAATTTACAGGGCAGCTCATAAGGATTCGCTAGTGGTTATACCATGCTCTTCCAAGAACTCTTGGCAAAGCAAGTTCACTTTGACCAAAACATGAAATGTTTACTGCTCAGGGTTTGGAAATGTTTGCAGGTCTGTTTTATTGGCCCTAACAAATAGAGTTTCCCTTTTGTTTGTACTGAAACAATCGTTGTGATCAAAGAACCAAAGCAATGTGGCTCAGCTTTTCAATAGCAACAGGAACATGTGGCCTAAACTCACAAGGATTTGGGAGTCAAACTCCAGGTTATTTTAAACTCATAGCTAATTATTGACTTGCTGGCCTTCTGTGACGAGCAAGACTGCCCATGTAAAATCACTGCTGCATTGTATCTAACCCTTGGTCTGAAGATAAGTCCTGCATTGTCTCGTCCTAATGAAGATCAAATGGGGGAAGAAGAAGAAGGAAAACGGAGATTTTTCTGCTGGAAAATATATTTGTGTAAGCAAATTAAACAGAGAAATGGCAAGTTCTGATTTTACAAACAAGTTCTTTGTGTAGATGCTTCTAAATTTTTATGATTCGGTTACAGAACCAGGAAAAAAATATCTTTGCTACTCATTCTGCTTCTGTGTTGGATTACATATGTTTTTTTAGCTCAATCCCCCAGATGACTATTGTTTACATTTACTAGCAAGAACTAGTCTGGTAATTGACAATTAACTATTGTGAGTGCTCCCACAATTTTATAGAAAAGATTGGACAACGATTTGTCTGAAATGGTGTAGGGTCTCCTGGTTAAGCAAGGGGTTGGATTAGAACAGGGGTTGCCAACCTTTTGGACCTCAGGGACCACCAAACTCATAATTTTAAATCCCGTGGACCAGAGACCCTGGGAAAATCCCCCCCAAAAAGTCTGCAGGAAAATTCCCCACCCTGTTTTCCTACCGATCGATCATTCTTTATTTGGGATTGCAGGAAACTGTCTTCAGCTCCATTCTCGGGGGGAGAGAGAGAGAGACTTTTGGCTTCATGCAAGGAAAGCAGCAGAAGTCTTTCTTTCTCTCCCCCAAACTCTGCCAGAATGGCACAGCCTCTTGAAGTAGGATGCCTTGCAGGATCCCAAAGACTCATTTCTGGTGGAGTTTGGGGGAGAAAAAGAAAGGCTTTTGCTGCTTTCTTTGTATGCAGCCAAAAGCAGAAGAAGAAGAAAGGAGAAAGAAGCAGCCCGGTGGCCAGTCGAGGCACCTGGGGTGAGTGGGGCAAGTTCCCTCCTCCGCCCTTTCCTCTCTCCCTTCACTGCCTCGTGTTGTTCGCAATGCAAGCGATGCAAGCCTTGTGTTCCCGCGTAGCCTGGATTAATTGCTTTGGGGGGTGCTTTGGGGGCAACATTTCTCTGAGGACCACCCCAATTTTCTCACAGATCACCAGTGGCCCCTGGCCCACTGGTTGGCAACCACTGAACTAGAAGACTTCCAAGGACCGTTCCAACTTGGTTTTGTATTCTGGTTATTTGGATGTCTTGGTCACTACTCAAGTATATAAAATTATTCCCACCCACCCCCATTCTTAAGTAAATTACATATTGGACTGGGTGTTGTGGCCAGGTTTTGCCGTTTGACATAGACAATTCTATCACTTTGACGTTGAATGAACTTCTTTCTGTTTCTCAGGTAGCCTGCTCTGATGCTTACCTTCCTGTATATTAGATCTAACTCTACTATTATGGATTTTTAAAACTGTTTCTAAACTGAGGATGGGATGTGTAGATAGCGTCATTAATGCATTGAACAAAAATTTGGGCAAACTCTGGGAGGCACTGGAGGACAGGGGACGCTGGCATGCTATGGTCCATGGAGTCATGAAGAGTCACGCTTAGCAACCGAACCACAACCCACACAAAAATACAAGTTTCATAAAGCTGTACCATCATAGCCCATTTCACATTCATGATATTGCCTTACCTGTTTTGCACCATTGACCTCCCCGCTGAGGTCCTTCCCCCTC